TGATCATTTTAGCTGTAATTAGATATTATAAAAATTATTTTATAAAATTTGAAGTCTCTGCAAACTTAACTAATTAAAGTTTCAACTTTAAAACGTCATTACGTAAAATCTATTGTGGTTAGGAATGTGAAGATAAACTTGACATATTTAGTAAAGTTTTAGCTTTAATATACATTTTTATTGTTGACTCTAACTTATCTAGTTTTTCAATTATTCGCTATAATGTGAAGAAGATTTTTTTTTTTAATTTATTTCTAAAATTGTAAATTAAAATATTTAATTCGATTGAAATCCAGCAGTTATTTACATAATTCAATTTCGAATTTACTGCTTTTAGGAAGTATAATTTTGTTCCCAATTACATAAATTACGCAATACTATTTTAGAAACATTTTCAAAATTGTGAAGACATTTAACATTTTAATATTTCGAATTTTCCAATGAAAAATCGTTAACGTTTCAAATATGTTTGTAAACTTAGGATAAACTCTAAATTTCGAAGATTTTAAATGAACTTTTCGTAGTTTTCGAGACATTTTATAAAAATTGAAGAATTTAGGAAATTTAATGAAAGTTTAATTTGAAAAATTCACTACGTAGTAGTTTTAGTAGGTTTAGAGACATTTGCAAAATTGTGAAGACATTTATCCTTTTAATATTTCGATTTTTTCAATAAATTACGCAACAATCTTGAGCGTCTCAAATATTAATTAAAATCCAGCAGTTATTTACATAATTCAATTTCGAAATTAACATTTTCACTATCATTTAGAATACTGAATTATGCCCAAAAAACGTAGTTTTTCATATAAATATTTGTTGTAGAAAATTGAAGTTTTGTACTGCATTTCTGAAAATATGAAACAAGTTATTTTTACCACTTCCAAAACTTTTGATCTAAAAATTTAAAATAAGCTGCAATTATATATTGTAAATCATTCTCTTTATACTGTTTTACAAATTAAATTAATTAAAACTTTATAATTCTAATTAACTATTTTTTTAAAAAACTGAAAATTTTATTTTTGAGAAAGATTTACACAAAATTCGTAGACTTCATATACATTACAGTAAATCAAGTTTACTTCGTATAATCTTAGCTTCAATTTGCATATTTACTGTTAAATCTACCTTTTATTATCTTCCTGAAATTTAAGATCTAAAGTTACTGCTTTTACGAAGGATCATTTTGTTCCCAATTACATAAATTACGCAATACTATTGATTAGTACAGTCAACCCTCTTATAACGCGGTGACTGCGTACCGCGTTATATGGAAATCGCGCTATAAGAAACTCGGATTTAACCGTACTAACCAGGCTAATTCGTAGCGTGTTCTATGGAAACCGTCCACCGCGTTGTATGGAAACCGCGCTATAAGAAACTCGGAATTAGTACAAATCACATCATTCATACCGCGTTATATCGAGACCAATAAATACAAAAGACAAAATAAATTATAAATTATTTTTATTGAATTGAACTAAAGAGTTCATATAAGGATTGATAAAAAAAATGAAACAAGAACTAAACTAAAAGACTGTTTTTCAACAAAAACAATGAAGACTTGTAAAATTATGTAATCTTTCAACACCCATCCTCGCTGTCAGATATGAGTCGCCTAACTCGTCTTCTTTTAATGGGCAAAATGTCTTCATCACTTAGTTCATTTTCACATTGGTTTTCGATTGTAGCTTTTTTTTCTAACTTCACTAAAACCTCTCTATAGGGAGTTAAGCAATTTCTTAACTCTCTTTTAAACTTTTCGCTGCGCACCGTTGAACGATCAGTTTGAATGAAATGAAGTTCTAATTCTTTAACCAAATTTAGCCCTTTTTTCACATCTTGTAAATCGAGATTTGGAACCCATTCCTTTTCCTTATTTTCGTTTACCATTGCATTTGAGGTGCATTCATCAATTAATTCCATCAGTTCTTCCTCATCTAAAGTTTCTTCCCCGAGTACTAGTTCTCTTACATCCTGATGGTTTACTGCAAATTCTTCATCGCTTAAACGAGAAGCAATGTTTACTATTTCTGTAACTGGGAGTGAAATTGTAGATTCATCTTGTATTGCTTGAACCATTTGAGGTAAAAGAGGTTTCCTGATGAGACGGTTCTAATACAATCTAAAATAGAAAATTTCATCCACACTTGAGTTTATTTTCACTGTTTTCTAATCTGTCGAAAATGGTTTGGAAAAGTTGGCGTGTGTAGTACATTTTTAAAGTTTGAATGACTCCTTGATCCAAAGGTTGTATTAATGACGTGCAGTTAGGAGGAAAGAAGACAATTTAACTTATGGGAAACTTATGTTGAACGGAAACCGCGCTGTAAGAGTACCGTGTTATAGGAATTTCAGTTCCGCGTTATATGGAAACCGCGTTATAGGAGGTATGACTGTAATTATTCAATATGTAAAGAAACGTATTCTTTCATAAACTTTATTAATACACTTTGATTTTTTTTTTAAGTAGCAATAACTTAAAAACCTTTCATTGCAACTTTCCATACAACAGAATTGTTCTCCCCCCAGAAAAGTCTATAAAACTAAACGCTTTTACCCAGCGAAATGCCCCAAGCATGATAACTTAATGTATTTGGCGTTTATTGCTCAGCGCTGGTCTTGCATTTTACGAAGAACATTACACATTTAATCTGTATATTATGCAAGGACGCTGATAAAGCAGTTGTGCATTCGTTGTGCGTGGAATATTTACTACATATTTACGAACTTTGTTATTTACAAAAAAAAAATAACAACCGTGTAATTAGAGATGAAATTGCAAATGAAAATTGCAAACTCATTTAAGTAATAATTCAAAGTTTTTTTTTTTTAAACTTTTTGAAAAAAATAAAAGACAATATTTAGATCGCAGCAGGTTAATTGAATGCTCTCTCGAGAAGCAAGTTTAGAAACATGGCTCGATGCAAAGTTTCATATATAATTTGCATCTCGCTACAAACTTTTGGCAACATATGCAAATAGGAAGAAAACAAGACTTTATGACATTTTCATAATGTAATATTTATCATATGTGATGCTTGCATAACGTAAATTAAAGAAATTACCGTATTTTTGGAACAATAAAAAAAAAACTTTAAAAATTTAATAAATTGAAAACTCAATTTTAAACAAATTTTTATAATACAAAAACAAATAATTCGATTATAATAATTTCAAGTAATTATTTATAAATGTTGGATGAATGTACAAAACTTTATTGATTTAATTTTTAATTAATTTTATGTACGATAAAGTTGTGTAATGTAAATGTTAAAATTTTGATGTTTGCCTAAAGCCATTGTAATTTAATGAAACGTAGTTCATTAGTGCGGTTCCATTACAGCGAAATGAATTTCACTTCTGCACGGACGGTTTTTAATTGTTCGTGAATCCGAATGGAACAAAAAAAATATGATTATTGTCGTTTTTTTCACAATTTTATTTGTCTGCATATAATTCTATAATTTAATACATTTTCTTCTTTAATTGAAACTTAATATTTTAAGTTCATTTTATTTAATTACAATTATATTTTTAATGTAATTAATGTAATTCTCAATGTAATTATGTAATTTTATATAATAATATGTATTTCTAACGTTTCACCATCATATTTAAATAATTAAGAAAAAATATATTTCTTTTTGTAATTAGTTTTTTTTTTCATATAAATTGAAATAAATTTATATGAAATATGATATTTTCTATATGAAGACGTGTAACATCATTGAAATTGCATACCTGAAGACAGATCCTGTTTATACGCGATGCATACGTGAATAATCTAAAAATCAATGTTTGAAACTGGAGAGTCCCGACCGGGATGGCTTTCATGCATCGTTCCATCATCACCCACGACAGTAAAGGAACACTTACCAGTGCATCCAAGAGCAGTAGTAGGTAGTGTGCTTCCAAGGTTTCCTAGTTACGATCATAAATTCATTTAACATGTATTTTTTATTTGAAATAAGATCATGGCACTCTCCTAAAGTACAGATGATTCATTTCAGTAATAACTTTTTATAACATTACATAAATTTCATGTAATAAAAACACAATTTATATTACAACATAGCTGAAATGTTAAATGAATTTATCAATTAATGTTTATTAAAAAAAATATATATATAAATAAATAATCTAATCCATTCCCATTTTCAATATTTTGTCCCATTTTAGTCAACTTTGAACGTAATTAGTCCTGTCTGTTTATTAATTAATTTTCTAGAATAAATTTTATTAAATTTATCAATTGAATCATCAATATAATTCAATATAATTGAATCATAAAACTAAACTTATTTAACAAAATGTACACAAATAATAGTGAAATAATCAAACTTAGCAAAATTCTAATCTAATTAATTGCATCACCATATGTTATTTTGGTACAGTTCATCCGTTTGTTTAGTATACAGTAGAACTTCCGCAAGTAAATGATCGCTCGGACATAATAGATGTTTCTAGCTTTGCGTAATTTCCTTCGTTGGAACTTACTCAAACTCATATTACCGGCGATGGCTTTAATGATCATTCCTGTACAATTTGACTGTAGAAATGAGACCAACATTTGTTACATCATTATTTATATCATTTAAAAAATAATACTCAGAAGAAACCTCAAAAGAAAAGTTTCAAAAGTGAATTATATAATTGAATCATAAAACTAAACTTATTTAACAAAATGTACACAAATAATTTTGAGCAAATCCATAAACTGAATATTAAATGCAACAACGAGAAACAATAAAACAAATCCAAAAATTGAAATTTGGATAATTATTTAAAAAAAAAGATGTGGTTGCAATTAAGAAAAATTCGATTAAAGTTGTGAACAAAATTAAACTGTAATTGAGTTTGTTGCATTATAAATTTTGAATGCGCTCTATAAATATATGCGAGCGCGATAAATTGCATTTGGAACGATATTGAGTTTTTCGCACTGCGATGAAGAACAAAAAAACAAATCAAACAGATAATGTTGTTGATAAATCCTAAATTTAGAAGCGATCCATTCATTGTCACATTATAATGCAAAATCCTAAACTGCAGAAATCCCAGAATTTATGGTAAGACCTCCGAAAATCGCAGCGATTCCCGTGCCACAAATCTATTCTATATATATATTATGTAAACGTACGGTGTGTAAACACGCTGTTTTGGGTTTAATCAATGTAATTGTCTCATTGGATAAACTACCGATGACATCGTTGCATTTCATTCATTCGAGGTCAATTTGACCTTTTCATTTATAGTTGCGCTTTCTTCCCTTACTGCATTTTTGCAAAACATAGATGTGGAAGTTCTTAAGATATTAACAACTTAACAATAAATTATAACTTTCAGGTGAGAAAGCATCGCATTATTTTATGATTTGTGATAAAACTATTTGTTTACAATGTTCAAAGCATATTTGAATTTGATCTTTTCTAATTTTATATCTGATATTTTTATGTTGATTCGTCAATGAATTATATAAGTTTGAAGGCTTGCTATTTTTTTATTTTTTCTTATTCTTTCTTATTATGCGGTTGTAAAGTCCTCGATTAGTCCGGTTTCAAACAGATATTGGCAAAGTTACGAGGCATTACTGTACCATCCAAAATTTCATGTTCAGATCAATTAAATAAAAATTCTTCAATTTTTATTACGCGTCGCAATTTTTTAATCAGAACAGTTGAAGTGGAAACGACGTGCGATCCCATTTCTAGCACTGGACCATCATCATCCATTCCTAAGACGAGACCTCAGAATTACCCGACCCGACATGTTTGGCCCAAATAGAGCATTACCGTCTGATTGAAATCCCGATCCACGGCTTCTCTTATACGTTTTATTTCCTTTCTTTTTTTTTTCTTCTTTTACTCCGTCTATACAGCCTTTCAGCTTGAAACGCCATCATTCCGACGATCATCAATTCGGATATTGATGTGGCTTTTTCACTGTTTTTTTTTCTTCGTCCATATTTTCTTCGCAATATTCTTTAGCAATAACTTTCCTATTTTTTTTTGTTGTTATTCACAAACAGTCATAAATCATTCTGCAATTCTCACATAATATATGAAATATATTTGAATACAGATATTGAATTACATTCAGAGTAACAGTTTACTATTTGTTACGAAGTTTCGTATTGTACGAATTTATGATGCAACTACAAAAAAAAGTTCTATATTATTTATATCAAGTTGGCATTTGTTGGCAACGATCCATCAGCTTTCGTTATATCATTATAAACTTTCATTTTTATAATTATATAACTATATATTAATATTTTTCTAATCAAACAAGAAATTAATTTTAAAAAAGTTGATAAAACTTATAAATGATTATAAAATAAACTGATTAAGCTGTGTGAAAAACGTACAGTTCACGCAAGTATTCACGTAGTATTCAATTATAACGCACGTTTTCATACAGGTGTTCTATTAAAACGCATGTGTTCACACGTATATTTACGCAGTTTTTCAATTAAAACGCAGGTGTTCACACATGTATTTACGCAGTTGTTCAATTAAAACGCAGGTGTTCAATTAAAACACAGGTGTCCTTACATGTATTTACGCAGGTGTTCACACATGTATTTACGCAGTTCTTGAATTAAAATGCAGGTGTTCACACATGCATTTACGCAGGTTTTCAATTAAAACGCAGGTGTTTATGAACGCAGGTGTTCAATTAAAACGCAGGTGTTCACACATGTATAACGCAGGTGTTCAATATAAACGCAGGTGTTCAATTAAAACGCAAGTGTTCACAGAGATCTTTACGCAATTTTTAACATCACATGTGAAATATTTTTACAAGTCACATACGATTATTTTTAGAAACAGGGAAGGTGTCAAGATTATATTTTTTTGTTAAAGGGAGACGTAGTAACATAAAGTTTGGAAACCACTGGCTTAAAGTATAACATTAATGTACGAGCAGTAAAACTCGTAATATAAACTTGCTTCCGTTTTTTTTATGTATACTTTCGCATTAGCAGGATTTGCAGGAAACCATTATTCTCTTCACACGATTTTTAAAATATTTCATTACAAATTCCAAAGGTAAATAATAAAATATTAACATAATTAAATTACATCTGAATGGAACATATTGAGTATGCAGAGGTTTAGCTTTACTTCATAAATCTGGATTGTTAAGATGCGAAAGCGCATCATACATCATTCGGTATTAATTGTTCGGAGGATCGGAGTTTCGTAATTCAAACACACACACACACTACATGCGGTCTCTTTGTGTCCAAACGTGTGCGTTCGTTCTTGCATCGTGTTTACCAAAAGCACAAACAGACGCGTTTAATATTGCTCGGCTTTGTACTTTGGACAAGTTAATCAATGCATCAAAACTAATCCAGTCATATCCTGAACATAATCGAGTTTCAATCTTAAATCCACATAAAAAGCGTTGAACACTTTCCTATACTTTATTCATTTTAAAATACGAAACTTTTGTAAATTAATGAACTTTATGTATCAATTTGAACAGTGTTTTATGTAATTTTACGATTTTGTCATAAAATCATTAATTTTTTACATAAAAATTTATGTAATTTTTATATTTTAATACAAATACTAAACAAACGTTTATAAATTAATGAAATTATCTAATCAAAAATTGAATTTTATAATTACAATCTAGCATTTAGTAAATATAATTGACACAAAATTAATATTTTATTTTATAAAATACAAAAGAAACTAATGAAAATTTTCTAAATTCAATACTGATATTACAAAAAACCAATTACAAAGTTATTCAATGCATACTGGAACTAAATCAATTATTTATATGTAATCTACAGAAAGCATGAAAAATAAAATATGTATAAAAGTTTTGAAGCGTTTAATTTTTTTTTGAGAAAACATGAATAAAAGTTGTTGCAAATGCTTAAAATTAATGTTAATGTGCAAATTATAAAGCTAATATTTGTCCCAAACGATTATATTTACTATATTTACAAAAAGTATAATTTATATTTCGAAAATTATAATTGTAAATTAAAAAATTTTAAACACTGACAAAAATATATTATTTTTTTCATAATGAAAAAAATAAATCATATAATTTATTAATTTGAATAGAATTAAGTTTATAAATGTTATATAAACAAAATATATTTATTTACGCAAGTGTTCAATTAAAACTCAGGTATTCACGCAGGTGTTCAATTCAAATACATGAGTTCACGCAGGTGTTCATGCAGGTGTTTAATTCAAATACATATGTTCTCGCAGGTGTTCAATTAATACGTAGGTATTCATGCAGGTGTTCAATTAAAACGCAGGTGTTCATGCGGGTGTACACACAGGTGTTCAATTAATACGTAGGTATTCATGCAGGTGTCCAATTCAAATACATGTGTTCACGCAGGTGTTCAATTAATACGTAGGAGTTCATGCAGGTGTTCAATTAAAACGCAGGTGTTCATGCAAAAAAATCGATGCAAAATAACTTAATAAATCAATAGATTTTTCTAAAGAATATCAAATTAAACTTGTCTGGTTTATCGAAACTTTGTACTGATATTACGCACAAACAATTAAGAAGTTGTCTATACACATCGTATAGTCGAGCTAATCGATTTTCTATTTGTAATAGAAAACTTTGTTTTGTTCTTGAAAATGTTTACATCTAAATTCATTTTTCATATTGCTTTTTTTATGAAAAAAACAAAAAGCATGACTGAAACTTAATGCTGATACTATAACATAACCATTTGCGAGACGTTTGTAATTTATCATATTAGTGATGTATTATATTACTGTGTTCGTGGATATGATAAATGTTCTATATTATAGAAATTTATTTCGTAGTTGATATAATAGTAAATAAAATTTATTTTATATAATGTTAGTAAATATATACTTAATTATATATACATAATAATACCTTTATTATATAATTTTTTTATTGTTAATTTCCAAATTCGCTTTAAGTCTTTTATAAAATATATAATTTTTGAACTTAAAGTGTAAACTTCAACTATATTAATAATTAAAAGGACATTTATAATTGAATGCATTTTTTTTTTCAAACAAACTTGTAAAATTGTCAATAATTCTCAATTTCTCGAAATCTCGTGTATTCGTTTGTAAAAGGCGATGTTAATCTTGGAATGACCAAAACTTCTTTAAGCAGATTTTACGAATGCAAACTAACACTCTATTCAATTTCGTTTTGCGCAACAACAACAAAAAACTTGAATCACGATTGAAGTTAAATAAATAAAAAGTAAATAAAAGTTAATTCTCGACCCGGACGCACATTTTTATAATTTTTTTTTCCCTCTCATTCGACCCACATCTCTAGCAAATTGAAACGTCCCAACCGTTAAGTGGATCGGAATTAATCCGCCTCTGGCACCGATTTATAGCCGAAGAAAAATCGGGATAAAAAGGTTATTGCTACTTTAGATTTAGTTTTATAGTTTTTCGAAATCAAATAGTTTAATTTAAAAAATATGTATGTATAATAATCAAGTGGTTTTGATTGATCAATGAAATTGTTTTCTCTCTTACCTGGTAGTTCCGGGGATGTATGTTCTCCGAGGCTTCAGCTACGATTTTCCGCAAATTCTGGGCGACGGACGTGTGCGGCGTGTAGATGTTCACCGTTCCCCAGCGTCAGGGTGCACTGACTAGGCGCCGGGACGCCGATCCTGCTTTTCGAACCCCCACCCTTTGCAGGACGACCGACCCGAGCCTCGGTAAAGGAGCAGCAGGACAAGACACCGGGGTCTAATTTAAACGTGGAAAAAAGGTAACCTGATTGCACACAAAACTTTTACTAATAGCAAAAACAAAACCGTATTGAACATTATTGATTAAAACTGCTAAAAAAACTCACTTCGAATTCTATTTGATGTCGCTTCAAACTTTAATAAGATGTCACTTTGTTTATGATAACATCAAAGCGTATCCATGACAACATTTCCTACAGCCATCTTCTATTACAATAATTCTACCAAATGACATCCATTGAATATTTGACGTTTAAGAAAAGTTAAGCAAGGATTTACATTTAGGTTTGGTGATCCGTACCCATTAGCATTGCGCTTTAGTAGAATGGTAGGAATTAACTAAAGCATCAATGTTTAATTCACGTTTCTAAATTACAATTTCGAAGGTAAAGGAATCTTAATGTAATTAAACAAAACCCGCATTTACAAGAACTTAAAATTAGTTTAATCTCATCACTTGTCTAATAAGACAAGATTTTAAGAATAAATGATAAGTTTTGTGTTTCAAGTTTTAGTTTCATATTTATTTCAAATTATTAAGTAATAATTAAAAAAAAAATATTTAATTAAATATAAAAGTTCTTACTAATCGCATCTTTGAAAAATAAAACAAAACTGTGTAGATTTATTGATTAAAATTGTTTCAAAAAAACTCACTTGAAGTTTCAAATTCAAAACTTTAATAAGATGTCACTTTGTTTATGATAACATCAAAACATTTCCATGACAACATTTACAATAGCCATCTTCTATTAAATGACATCCATTAAATATTTGACGTTTTACAAAAGTTAAGCAACGACTTACATTAAGTTTGGTAATCCGTATCTATTACTATTGTGCTTTAGTAAAATGGAATAAATCAACTAAAGCATTAAGCTTTAACTAAGATAATAAGGATTCACTTCCTAAATTACAAGTTCAAAGGTAAAGGAATCTTAATGTAATTTTATTATTATGTAATAATAAAAAAAAAACTATATTTAACTTTGTTTATGATAACATCAAAACGTTTCCATGACAACAAATATTTCCTTTAGGCATCTTCTATTTATATAATTGACATCCAAATGACATCCATTGAATATTTGACGTTTTACAAAAGTTAAGCAACGATTTTCATTAGGTTTGGTGATCCGCATCTATTACCATTGCGCTTTAGTAAAATGGAAGTGAGCAACTAAAGCATGAAGATTTCACTTAGGGAATGAGGATTTACGTTCCTAAATTTCAATTTAGAAGGTAAATAAATCTTAATGTAATTAAACAAACATCGCTTTATGATAACTTAAAATTTGTTTAATCTCGTCATTTGTCTAATAAGAAAAGATTTCAAGAACAAATGTTAACTTTTAAGTTTTAATTTCTATATTTATTTCAAATTATTATGTAATAATAAGAAAACTTTAATAAGATGTCACTTTGTTTATGATGATATCAAAACGTTTCCATGACAACATTTCCTTCAGCCATTTTCCATTAAAATAATTTTACCAAATGACATCCATTAAATATTTGACGTTTTACAAAAGTTAAGCAAGGATTTTCATTAGGTTTGGTGATCCGTATCTATTACAATTGTGCTTTAGTAGAATGGTAGGAATCAACTAAAGCATCAAGGTTTAACTCAAAGAACGAGGATTCACGTTTCTAAATTACAATTTCACAGGTAAGGAAATCTTAATGTAATTAAACAAACCCCGCATTTACAAGAACTTAAAGATGACAAGATTTTAAGAAAAAAAAACATATTATGTAACAATATTTCGTTTAGAAAACTAAATATTTAAATAGTTAATTAAATTAAAAAAAAATCTCGTATTCTTCATGATTTGTTTTTTTTATATTTTATCAGCTGAAATTTTAAGGATTCAGTTGAAACATGATTAAATTAATGAAGCTGTACGTTTTCGACGAAATTGAATAAACCCTTTCATACATTATTAAAGCAATTTTTATATTGCAGAGATTTATATACAAAAAAAGTAATTTAATTGAAAATTTCATAGTTTTATTTCAATTTCATTTAAATTATTTTTATTTCAGATAAATAATGGAAATAAATTTAATGATATGAAAAGCTTAAACAGTAAATATGAATATTTGATTTCATACACTAGAATGACTGTGGCATTCCATCTAAACTATATTAGTTATTAATAGACCAGTAATAATAATAATAATAATACTATATACATGTTTATTAACACATCGAGAAAATGGATTAAATTCACGTCGTTGATTTCGAATTCGCGTATGAAATTCGTGTTATTAGCTGTGTCATATGCAGATTTCAAGTGACCTGATTTCTATAAATATATTTATTTATTTTCTCATAACTCTCCTGATTACGTCCTACGGGTGCTATGAAACATAAATTTGAATAAATCAAATATGTATATAGATTATTGATTCCCACTATTTCTTCAACTAGAAAAGATGATATATTTTTTTCATTTTTGGTTTCTTTTCGTTGACCTTCCCAACTTTTTACGGAATTCTCAATGCAGTATAATATACTTTTCCGTTTGGCCAAAGTCCAACCAACTCTGCATCCTTTTGTCTTTGATACTGTAACATCCAGGTACGCATAATTCAACATGAACTAAATTTTCTGTATTTTTCTTGCTTTTTATTTTAATTTCTTCTTCAAATGGAAATGGAATGCAGATATGAATTTTTAAATATAGCAAAAAGAAAATTCGCTTTCCACCAAGTGTTCAAACAAAAATTTTCATGCTATTTGTTTTTCAGCTCGGATCCTGGGCGTTATTGAAATACGGTCTTATTACGCAAAAGCAAACAGATGGAGTAGTCATACATTATAAATTGTGTAGAAATACTTTCACGTGTTTCGTTTAGTTTCTTTGCAATTAATGGTTTATTATAGTTTTTTTTATTCATGTATAGATTTTAATGAACTTCAAATTAACTGTAGTCTGTTGTCAATAACAACAACAAAAGTGTCAACTCTTATAACCAAAAATAGTAACCGTCTCTTCCACCATAATTAAACTCATTTGTTTACTGTGTTTCTATGTAAATATTTTGTTTTAAATAATTTGTTATAAATAAAAAGTATATCAATAATTGAAATTTGTTTATTTTCAAGAAAACAATTTAATTTTTGCAATGTTTATCGTAAATCATGCGGGCCATGGCGCAATCCTCGACGGCCATTCCTGAAAGAAAAATTTGTAAAACACTCGTTCTTTGTAAATAATAATTATTCCTCTTTACCCAAACTTTGAAATATCGTTACTTTCGATGGATGAGGGTTCCGCGTTTTACCATTAACCAAATCTCCAACTTCGCACTCAAATTTAAATCCTTTGTCGAGTAAACCGGCCAATTCAGTATTCGCTCCAGACCAATAATCTACGTAAATATTAGCATCTTTGTAAATGTCTTCATCCAACTCGCAGTAATGACACCCGGTGCTTGCTCCAACAGCTGAAATCACCATGGTTACACCATAGAAACAATACGATCGTTCGCATTCAAATACCGTTTATGTGTACACCGTCTTTAAGCCAATCACGTTTCAGAATCGGCGAAGGCGCTGAAGTCGCCGTTACTATGACATCAGCATTTTCAACGCATTCTTGCGCGCTGGAAGCGTATTTGAAAACGTCCATCTTCAATTCGGAGTTTAAATCATCCGCCAGTTTTTTAGCTTTATTAACTGAATGATTCCAAATTCTCACCTACAAAACGAAATATTATATAAAATGGTTTAATTATTATTGTTATTATTTTACTTCGGAGAAGTTGAAGAAATGTTGGAAAGCGAGCGCGTGGCTTTTGCCTTGAACTCCGGCTCCTAAGATAGCCAAAACTGTTTTCTGTTTACCATCGTGAAGATACTTTGTGGCAACGGCTGAAGCGGCTGCGGTTCTCCAAGTTGTTATTGCAGTTGCAGCCACAATCTACAACGACTTTAATTAGAATTAATCCAAGTGATGATTAAGGAGAAAGTACAGCTTTTAAAGCGCCTGTAGTTTCATCGAACATAGCAATGTTTGCCAAAATGTTAGCCATCGGTTTCGGTAATTTTTCATTGCCATCGGCAACTGTAACTAATTTACATGCCAAAGCTCCGAATTTGCTATCCTCCAAGTGTCCAGGCATTGTTAACAACATTGTTTGGGTTTTTTCAACCGTGGTGTAGGTGCGAGGATTTTGAAATACCCGCCCTTGAGAAACTCTGCTCATTGAAGCCTCAACGGCTGCCAACGTCGAATCCCAATCCAGCAAGGATTCCACGCGATTCTCATCCACGAAAACCACATTCATTTTACTATTATTTTTAACACAAAACTGGAAAAAATATCAAGAAACTACGTGACCTATCTACATTACACACACTAATCGCACTGATTATTTACTGCTTAAGTATTTTAAGGTCATCTACAATAATACCAACATTAGAGACGAGACAGGACCGTAACGAAGTCAAGTTACTTATTATGAAAAATATTTAATAAATGTGTAGAAAGATATACAATAAATAGCGTGGATTACAGTAGTTTTATTTAATTTCAAAAAGACAAATATAATTCACAATTTTTATTTGAGAAATACATGTTAAAAAATACTTTAAATATTAATAACTCTAGATAATTTCTGAACGCGATTCAACAGTAAATCTCCTTGCTTTATGACAGAGTTGAATTGTGCGTTCTTCAGGTCGGGTCTGTTGGTTTCGACGATTCCGTAGACTCGATCGATTTTACAGTGCAGCCTACCAGAGGCGATGAAAGTCGATAGTTCTTGATCGATGAATTCCTTGCTGACACCGAAAGCTTCAGCCATGTACTGCAGTGTTAAAGACCTATAAGATTCCAGTAGCTGTGTGTACGCAAGGATGCGCATCTCGCGCACGTAGAATCTGTAATGCGGATGAAGCAGGTAATCCTTGCGAAGGACCTCCTCGACTTCAGCAAGATTAGTGAAGAAGTCCGCGTATTGGCAATTGTACAAAGAGAACAAGTAATCTTTAACGAAAGCCTCAGAATGCAGCACTTCCAGAATCTCCGATCCTTTAACAACCTTATCCCTCAATTGGTTCCTCGGCAGACTGATTACAGACACGTAAACTGTGTAACGGACGAAGGTCTTGTAATCCATGAGCTCATAGGACGTGAATGTGCTGATTGTATCCAAGAACATGGTGGCAGCAGTCTTGAAGTCCCTGATGGACATGCTGTAAACACCCTGATATACTTTTAATCTGTTCCTACGATCCCAATCTCCTCCCTCCTCAATCAGGATTTTAGCTTTGTCAATATTTCTTGTAATAATGTCATGGTCCATGAAGAACAACCCAATACGGATCATGTGAAATATGATATCCAATCTATGACCCAGGGATACTGTCTTATCGTAAGCCTGACGGAAGGTGGTGATTGCATTATCCTTGTCTCCAATTCTACTGTAGAATTCAGCCTTCCGCAGATACGCCTCACGCACCTCCATCTCACCCAGATTCTTCTCTGCATCTTCAATAGTCTCATCCAATTTTTTGACAGTTACTGTGTTCTTTTCCTGCATTTGTTTCAAGTAGGCTGAATCCAGTTTCCATCCCGCTTCACGACACACAATCTCATACCATGGGGCCATTTCTAATTGGAAACAGCATTAATATACATACATCAAATAATAATTATAACTTATTTACCATCCTTTTTAATAGCATCAGAAATTGTCTGATGTATGTTGCGGTTGTTCTTGAAATCAGGGAGGCTCAGCAAGAAGAGGCATTGTGCCAACTCCAAGTTGGGGTTCTTCTCCAGACCTTGGTCTTCCAAATTCTCCAAAGGCATTTCAACTTCTGCTTATAATTTTCTCAGAAAACTAAAACTTCGGGGACTCGCACCAAAACAACATAAACTGCACTGTCAGACTGTCAAAAGAATGTCAAGTAAGAAAACTCAGCATTTTCGGTAGTTTCAAAACTCCTCACAGATGGCACTAATACATTATAAATTTAATTTCTAAGTTTATCCTTCTTAAAGCCACAAAAATTAACATAAGTAATAACTCTGTAACACCTAAATTAAATAAAAGAATCTTAAAACCGAACCTTCTAAGAACCAGCAAGATCAAATATTTAAGATAAAAATACATCAGTAAATAATAAGTTAAAATTTTAATTTATAAATAATTAAAGAACATTTTACAACGTTTTAACTCATATACTTAAAATTGGTAATAATTAGTCCATAAATAAGTTTTTTAATTAACAAAATTAAACTGTAAATTAATTTACAAGATTCACGCTAGATGGAGCGTTGATCTAATATTCAATCATGAACACTACAGTTACTATCAGCTCAAACTATGAATGAGAGCTAGTTATCAAAATACTATTGAGTAGCGCCAATTTTAGTTAATTAGAAGTCTGTATTAAGGCTCTAATTAAGAAGTCATCATTGGAACAGCGCAGAAAGTGCTGAACTATAACCTTTGTACAAACGCTCATAGATGGCTAAAAATATGATATTTTTAGTACAGACGCAAAAAATGAATTAATTTGCGTCACCATATTATAAATTATAATTATTAATTAAGGGCTTATCTATAAATGACTATTAAATTAATTATTAGCACTACAATTAAATAGTTTAAAGATTAATTAGGTAATTTTCCATAAAGTTCTGAACGTTTGTAAGTTGCTGTGCTATGACATTTTTCGGTATGTTTTTAAAGCAAGATGATTTTCAAATTTTAATTATTTGTTTTTCAAGAATTTCAGCGAGAATTATTCAGGTGGAATGAGTAGACAAAGTAAAATATTATTGTGAAAATAAATAACAAAACATTTAATAATATTAAGGATTAATAGGTAAATTCTTTGAGCATCAAGGAAATATTGTTGGCAGTTTCATTGAGGATACCTTGACTAGCCTCCACATTTGGTTGTTCTTGACTTACAGTTAAAGACATCTGCAGTTTGTTGTTATAATTGGTAAAAGTAAATCCGAATCCTGAAATTCAATTCGTATTTATTAAGAAAGTAACATTATGATAATGACTGTAATTTACCAGACGTTGAGACTTTCGGGAAGAATATAACTTTATCTAATAATTTATCTCCGTTGAAAAGTTGCAGAGCTGGACCACCTTCAATATTGAAAATCTTTCCGCTATAGTTGTAATTTTTAAGTATTAATCGTCCTATCGGCGTTGGTAAATTTTCGATGAATGTTTCTGTTGATACAGCATTAAACTAAAAGTAACATAATTGAATAATTGTATGATTCGTTTAATGATTAACTTACTGGAATTTCATAAGAAGTTATGATTCTTTCCAAAGCGGCCCCAGTTTTATCCAAACGTTGTTTCCAACTACATTTAGTATCAATTGGTATGTTTAACAAAGTACCAGCAAATCTTCCTCCAAAGACATAAGATTTTCGGTTCTCGAAGAGTCTAACAGTTCTATCAACGTCCGTCAATTTCGGATATCCACATCCGATCTTTTTGGGAATTTTTAAAATTTTGTTAGCTTCCATGTAATTGCTTATAGCCGCGCCAAAAGCAGTTAAGACCACTTGTTGGAAAGATGTATTAGTATTCTTGCAGATGACATCGATGATTGGTAGAAGATGGTACGTTTTATACACTATATTTGTCTTGTACGATTTAGAAACATTGAAGATGTTCGGTTTCTCGTAATTGATGTTGAGTTTGTTGATTCGCTTCACGCTGCCAATTCTTTTAGCTTCGATCTCTAATTTCTTTCGCATCTCCTGCGCCGCGACGTCTTTCAAAGGATTTAGTTTATAAAGGATGTTGCTGACCAAATTGTACATGACCGTTCCATCGGCAATGCAATGGTGCAACCTTATAAACAAGTAATACTTTCCGTCTGCCCCGATCGAAGCAATTTTCATGTCCCAATTGAATCTTCCGTCTGCAGGTAAATCGGCGTTGTTGCATTCCTGAAGAAAGTCGTTCAAACTCTCCGAATTCACTTTGCTTATAACTTTCCGCACATCCAAATTGTGACGTTTCAAGTACAAATACCCGAAACACGAGGCTCGAATCGTTAAGAGTTTGTCGTAACACTCCTTAGACCAAACTGTTTTCAATACATGATCCACGATTTCATCGAAGAAAACATCAAATTTCTTAAAGCTTTCGATGCAATGCAATTCGTTAATTGCGTTCGGCAACGTTCGAACCGATATTAGATGCGGTAGAGTGCAATAACCGTCCAAAAGACCCAAATAATCCAATCCGTGTTTTTTCTTAAGCGCAACATCCACCAGTTTGCGGATTAGCATGAAGACTAACAGAAGAGGTAGAGTGAAAAGCATTATTGCAGGTGTTAGAAAATAGCTCGGGAGATTCACCATAAACCAATATTTTTTCTTCGAGGCGTCTTCAGGTAACTTCAAGCGTTTTCTGATCATAAACTGGAATTCGCTATAATCAGTTACATCTTAACAACAATTCGTCACATCGTGTCTTACCTCCACTGTTAAATATTGAAAAAACGCAAATTTGAAGAAATCGTACATTTTTCTGCATAAGAATCTGCATGTTTAAGACAAAATAATCACAAAGAAAAATAAGAAGTTACAAATTAAATTAACAACAACATTATTTGATATTTGCATTACAAAATTAATTAAGTTTAAGCATAAAATTGATGCTTATTAAGATTGCGAAGATTGCATGACAATTTTTTCGTTTGATTACATTATTGAAGTACGTATAGAAGAAATTCATTATTTATTAAATTTAATGGATTTAATGCATTGTTGTAAATTGTATGTCTTTAGTTAAACATTTCGATTTATGCGATTTCCTTGATAATATACAATTAATTGGGAGCGTGAGCGTTTTCTGATCATAAACTGGAATTCGCTATTATCAGTTACATCTTAACAGCAATTCCTCACATCGTGTCTTACCTCCACTGTCAAATATTGACAAAACGCAAAGTCGAAGAAATCGTACATTTTTCTGCATAAGAATCTGCATGTTTAAGAGAAAATAATCACAAAGAAAAATGAGAAGTTTGACAAATTAAATTAACAACAACATTATTTGATATTTGCATTACAAAATTAATTAAATTAACATAAAATTGATGCTTATTAAGATTGCGAAGATTGCATGACAAATTTTTCGTTTGATTACATTATTGAAGTACGTATAGAAGAAATTCATTATTTATTAAATTTAATCGATTTAATGCATTGTTGTAAATTGTATGTCTTTAGTTAAACATTTCGATTTATGCGATTTCCTTGATAATATACAATTAATTGGGAGCGTGAGCGTTTTCTGATAATAAACTGGAATTCGCTATTATCAGTAACATCTTAACAGCAATTCTTCACATTGTGTCTTACCTCCACTGTCAAATATTGACAAAAAGCAAATTTGAAGAAATCGTACATTTTTCTGCATAAAAATCTTCATGTTTAAGACAAAATAATCACAACGAAAAATGAGAAGTTACAAATTAAATTAACAACAACATTATTTGATATTTGCATTACAAAATTAATTAAGTTTAAGCATAAAATTGATGCTTATTAAGATTAAGAAGATTGCATGACAATTTTTTCGTTTGATTACATTATTGAAGTACGTATAGTAGAAATTCATTATTTATTAAATTTAATGGATTTAATGCATTGTTGTAAATTGTATG